CAGAAGATGGATTAGTTGTGAAGATAGTCTATAAATTTTGTTTCAAAAAAGGTTTAATCGTGTATTTATTTAGATTCTTAAAAACTTATCTAATTTTATTAAGAAATATGGTCTATTGAACTTTATATCTTAAAATATTTTGTATTTTGACTTGTATTCTATAAAACTTTAACTAATTACTATTTTAAAAATCTTAAAAAAGTCATAACTTACTCAGTCTACTTAGATTTGTCTGGATTTTACAAGACTTGTGGAGATTTCGAAACATAAAGATTTCCTAGATTTATTTTCAATTTGGTAATTTTAAAAGTTCTTAAATTTAAAAACACAAAATTAAATGTCATTTAAAATCCCAATTAAATACACTTTTCGATAATCCAATCTATAAGATAATTCGATCTACAAAAAAATGTAATATGTAAGTTAATAGTTATAATTATTTTCAAACATAAGTAATAGTTAATTGAAGTTTTTTTTTTTAATTGTTTCTTCAATTACAGGTGGTCACTTATAGCTGGGAGATTGCCGGGAAGAACAGATAACGAAATTAAAAACTACTGGAACACACACATCAGAAGAAAACTCATGAGCCGGGGGATCGACCCAACAACTCACAGGCCCATCAACGAGCCCAACACCTCGCCATCTTCACGAGATGCCGCCACGAACATATCATTCTCAGGCCCAAGCCCAAAGGCGGAGGAGAGGGTCAAAAGCCCATGTAGAAGCCCCGGCAGCCCGGTTAGAGAATTGCGGTCCCCCGACTTGAACCTGGAGCTCCGGATTAGCCCACCGTACCAGCTGCCAAAGCAAGAGCCGTTAAAAACCGGTGGTTTAAGAGATGAAATTGATTGCGACGGTAAAAATGATTCTGTTAATTTAGTTAACGGCGGTAAAAGTAACGGTGGGTATGATTTTCTGGGGCTGAGGAGTGGAGTTTTGGACTATAGAAGCTTGGAGATGAAATGAGGTGATGATTATTGGAATTTGACGTGGGATAGTATTATTTTTTTTTCTTTTTATTTTGGTTTTATTATGTGTAATAATTAATTAAAAATAATTAACTTCACCAAGATTGGTATAAAATGTGAAGGAGAGTAATGAGTATTTTATTACATAATAATTTACTCAATTTCGAGTTGGATAGATTTAAAGTGTTAAATAAATATTTATTACAATTTATAGTATAAATAGGAATGGACACTTTGAGAAGACCTTACAATAGTTTTTGTTTTTTTACTATTGGTTCACTATTCAATCCTGTTTTTTTGAGAAAAATAAAAAAGGAAATGCATATGCATGTAAACGTGCTAAATGTCCAAGAACAAAGACACATTCAAATTCGTGTTTGGCAAAAATTCGTTCAAGTAGTGTTTTTGTTCTTTAAAAGTTCATTCATTTGTTAATCAGACGAACAAAATCCCGGTTGTGAACGTCTGAATTTTGATAACTTTCCCGGACATTAATTTAATGCTATATATTTATATGTACTATATTAATAATTATAAGTTCTAAAGTATGCATTTGTTTCTTATTTTTTTTAGTTTAATTTAAAGCTTGAACAGTTTCAAACAAATTGATTTTGAGTTAATAAAAAAAATCAATAAGCTTGTTTACTAAATTATTAAAACGCAACCGGACTCGATCCTTAATGCCCGATCTAGAACACAAAGTTTTCGTTCAAATAATAAATGAATTAACACGAATCGTGTTCAACATAATAAATTACGAGCTCGAAATGCTTAAGCTCATTTTGACTCATTCCTTTCAATCACACCACTATACTCACCCATATATACATGATTAATATTTGATCCAACCTATTGATCAATATGAACTCAAAATTTATTATTATAGAAAAAAAAAAAAAAAGTAATGCATTATGCATATCCATTGAAGTGCTTATATGATGTCAACCCATACTGGGCGGGCATAAAGTACACAAATCTAGCTTGTATAACTCAATGTACGAATTTTCAACATGTTCATTAAAATAATATCATAATTTTTCTAATTTAAATTTATTTTCCCATCCTTATCTTTGTTGGGACCGATCAATATATCTTTGATATGGACTGTATTGATGATCATGTGAAATTGAGAATTTGAATTCCTCACTACTCTATAATTATTATTTTTCTAATTATAGTTACCTTTTTTCTGGTTTGTATTCTTTATCAAAGATATGAAAATATCTATGGAGGCAGTGGATAAGCTTTGAAAGGATGAGAAGGAAAGAAGACAAAGAGGTGGGTAACCTATCTCGTCCAATACATTAAATACATTGTCACATATATTTATTTCGAAAAATAGTTGTTATAAAATCTAGCATATATTAAATTAAGTCAAAAATATGTTTGAATTTAATTATATATAGTTAAATATAAAATTACAAATTATTCCGTGACCCAGGATTCTAAAAACATGGGCATACTATTTTTCGAACTCATTCCAAAAAAATTGAAGACAAAAATAAATGAAGAAGTTGTGTATGTGTGTACAAAATAGTAAAGAAAATGCGTGAAAAAACTAGGCATTAGTAACCACCAATATATCTAAATCTTTTTTTTTTCTTTGTCTCTGTATATATATATATTTTCTTCTTCTCTATTTTGGTATTGGCCTACTTAACTGCGTTTAATTTTGAATAAATGTCATTTATGGTATACCAAAATCAAGCTAGAGATTAGGTCAAGTTGGATTTATACATTTATGTAGTAGTCTACACCATGCACCAAAGTAATTAATTTGAATAATTTCTACTTTTAGAAAAAACTACACAAACTCGAAAAATGAAAACCTTATTAAAAAAAATGTGCATGCATGTTATTAGGTAGGCTAAATATGGTAAGCTATATATATACTTGCAAAAATAAATAATTCTTTTTGAGCTCCTTTATTCTCTAGGAAGAATTGTTAAAAAAAAAAAAAGGAAATAAAATTTATTAGGACAAATAACAGTATAAGTGATCATGTATTAGAACTCGGGATAGTATATGGTTATTTAATTTATAAATCTTTTCATATCTTCAAATGGCTCAAAGGCCATACATGCTTACGGTCATAAAATGATTAAACCCTAATTATTACTTTCCTACTAAGTAATTCCTATGTAATTACTAATTATATAAAATACCAAGTCTTAATATGTACGGGATAAATTCAAAACTAGTTCAACCAATTGAAGGGGTGTCATTTTTGGTCCCGCAAAAAAATGATTGTCACAAGTAGTCCAACAATTTTTCAAAAAGTAATCAAAAGTAGAACTTTTGATGCGATTTCGGGTCCGAAAGGCCCGATATGCCATGTGGCGCATAGGTGACGTTTTTTCTTGACATGTTGGCAGCCGTCATCATACATTTTTATCTTGTGATAAATCAACAAATATTTATAATTACTTTTATCTTAAGTAAATTTATATTATTAAGTAAATTTAAGACAACATTATGAATATATATAATTTTTTATATTAACTATTCATAAAATTTTTAATAATGAATAAGGATACAATATACATTAAATAAAATCAACAAATATTTATAATTACTTTTATCTTGTGATAAATCAACAAATATTTATAATTACTTTTATCTTGTGATGTGTTATTTTTAATAGGCATTCTTTTAGCTTTTTTTTAAATATTAAATTATTATGAAATTGAAAAAAAAATATTTTTATTCATCAGGTAATTATGGTTAACATTTTTTATTCATGACATAACTGATTTTTTCTTATCATTTTATTATTATTTAATGAAAAATATAGTAAAAAAGTATTAACTATAATTATGTCATGAATAAAAATGTTAGCTATAATTATATCATGAATAAAATTATTTTTGTAATTTTATAAATTATACCATATATGTCTTTTTCATTCCGTCGAAAATTGAATTTACTGTATAGACACTTATGACCTCTCCCTCCAATTGGGTGGCCCTCCATCTGACATGCTACTTGGTAAGTTGAATAAAATGGTTTTTGCAATTTGATAATAATTTATTTTTTTAGATAATTTTTTGTATATTTGTTATTTAAATAATTATAAAATTACAAAAATACTTACTATATTTTTTATAAAATAATTATAAAATTACCAAAAAAATATGTCATGAATAAATAATATTAACTATACTTATGTCATGAATAAAACTACTTTTATAATTTTATAACAATTTAATATTATAGTTAACATTTTTTACTATATTTTTATTAAATAATAAAAGAATACCAAAAAAATTGTATCTATTTCAAATGTGAATATTCGATAATAAATCAATTCAAAAATTGGGAAGTGCTTGAAAAGTTAATCAAATATGCATATTTTTAAGTAAGTTACCTATTATTAAAAAGTATAATTATAAGAAAATATAGATAATGAATTCATATAATATGATGTTTCTAAAATTATTTTTGGTCATCCCTAATGGAAAGAGAAAACCAAAAAAGAAAGAAATAATTAAATTGTTTATTTAGCTGTACATGTAAATATCTTATTATTTAAGTTTTTTCCAACACAAATGGCATGAGTTGAGAAAATCGACATCCGTAACTCTGGATATTGTTAAAATGAATAATTCTACGAAAAAAAAATTTTTTGAAGCATTGTACAATTGTTGAAATGTATTATCAAATAATTACATTTTTAAATTTTTGTTCGTAATTTTATAATTATTTAATTAAAAATATTGTAAAACATGTTAACTACAACTATCTCATGAATAAAACTATTTTTTGTAATTTTATAATAATTTAATATTGTAAAGAAGCTAAAAAATACCTATTAAAAATAACACATCACAAAATAAAAGCAATTAAAAATATTTTCTAAATTTATTTAATGTATAATCTATCCTTATTCATAATTAAAATTATTTATAAATACTTATGATAAATAATTGTATATTCCATAATCTTGTCTTAGATTTACTTACTAATATATTTTAATTTATATATATATATATAATAATTCATACAACAAAAGGAGAGCATAACAATATAAAAAATAGAAAAATTTTCAAAATTAGTCCCACAGGTTTAGTGTCAGGCCACGTGTGATGACGACTGCCAGCGTGTCAAGAAAAAACGTCATCTCTGCTCCACATGGCTTATTGGGTCTTTTCAACCCGAAATCGCATCAAAAGTACTACTCTTGATTACTTTTTGAAAGTTGTGATACTATTTGTAGCAATCATTGTCTTGTGGGATAAAAAACGGCACCTCCTTCAACCTGTGGGACTGGTTTTGAATTTTTCCCTAATATGTACTATCATTTCTTGTTGTGTACGTAGAATTTACTTTCAGTTTAACCAACTCTATACATAACAAATGTAAGTTTGTCTTCAAATGTACAAATTAATAAGCAATTATTTAGGTATTGACCTATTATTTAATAAATCTTTTAAACTAGAGAGTCAAATTGGCCTTAATTTCCTGTCTTTTTACTTTATGTTGAAAATCTCATAAATTCTTGGAACATATTTTGAACAAATTATGGTCCAAATTAAATTAATAGAGTTATAAACGAGTCGAACTCGAGTATCTGATATTCAAACTCGAGCTGAACCCTTATCGAGACGAATTCATTAAGTTAACGAGCCAATACGAAATAATCTAAATTTGAGCTTTAACCATTCGAATAAATTAAAAATTTATAAAAATATCATGAAAACCCTTATTTTAACAAGCCCAGCTTTAAGATTATTAGCTCGCGAGCTGCTCATTCTATCCATGTTACAAGTAAATTGGTACTATAGGATTGAGTTTCTAAACGAAATTTCTAAAATCAGAAAATATACAAAAGTTACAAGTCCTAAATCCAAAACTTATGAGATCCTGTTTGCAACATACTAATTAAAATTCAATTATGACAAAATAAATGACTCCACCAACTGAGGTTCAACTTTTTCAAGAGAAAATTCGCCTCTTATGATGTATGATTTATTAGAGTTTTTTTTGTCCTTATATTCA